AAAACAAGGAGCCTTATGTACTCTTGTATTTCTAGTCTCATCCTTGTCTCTTGCACCATAATTGCTCATGGGGGCACCTCCTCCATTCACCTGAGGCATTAAGGACAGTGAATGACTCAGTCCACGTCATCTTTGTGTTCTGGGCTTTTACGGTGCCTGATGTCTAGTGGACACTCGTGTATTCTGCCTTCTTTCTCTCAAGAGTTATCCTCCCTAGAAGATGAACCAGGAAGAAACCCTAGGATGCTCACTTCATAATGTGATACAAAAACACAAAGGGAAATTCAATCCCATGCTCCCTCTTTTCAGGGACTGACTCAAGAGGCTGAGAATGGACCCTTCCATCCTCTGCTCACTCTCCCTTTCGAGATCACACTCCGTTCTTGTCTTTTAGAACCATAGGGAAACGGTCTGGCAAGAGCCACTGTTGTACCGGTTAATTTAAATTGAAATGTTTTCCCCAGATAAATGCGTGCTAAATAATACACCAGCTCTCCAGCCAAAGGGAAGTGACAGGCGCTCTGTAAATAAAGGCACTTAGTTACTGGTAAAGAGCTGTAAAGTGGTTCTGAGCTGATGTTTGCTGACCAGCAAGAAGCAGCTTCCCCTGCTTTATATAATTGTCACCGCAGTCTTGCCTGCTGTATATTAAAACTGCATCTCATAGACCCAACTGTCACATCGGATATACCATCCGGCATCTGGTAGGCCACCTCTCCCTGTGATTGTTTTTGACAACTGGGCATCACATCTCAGATCTTTCAGAAAGTGTCTGGTCCAGAATCCCTAGGCTGGGTCAGTTCTGACACCATGTGGGCTAGAACAGTGACACCAAAAGGCAATGTTAATAGAGGAGAAGGAAAAGAGGTTTTGTTGGTCTTGGAAACCAAGCAATGCACGGTGGCAAGTGTCTGAACACAGATCTCAAAAAAGAGCCTACTTCCTCAGTGTTAAGACCCGTTTTGCACATTACACTGAATCATGTTAGAAAAACATGCCATAAAAATGCATAGATATTTTGGCCCTGAAGCACACATTTGTCCTGAGTCCACATTTCTGTCCTGCTGGGTTTGGGAGAGATGGTCATATAGCTCTCAAGACAAAGCAAAGGAGGGGATTTTATAAGGACTGCAGAATAAATCATGATGAAAACTGGGGAGCAGTGGCCAGAAACCTCTGTTGTTATCACTCAGGGGAAGTTAGATTTGCTTCCCCCAATGAAAAGAGGAACACAAAATCATTTTGTACTCTGTAATTCCAATTCACCTGCAGTGTGGGGATGACAAATGCCTAGAGGAAGGGTGGTGAGAATTTCAGGCCAATGAGCATTCCTGCTGGTCCAGAGGGTCTCAAGGAGAGACACAGTGACAGGGAAGCCTGGTTTGTCCCTCGAGCCCTATGGGCTGGGACAAACCCAAGGAGTGGGATGCCTGATGGGCAGCCCAAGGTGAGACCAGAGAACTCACCCATCAGAGGGAAAGTCATTTCCTGGGCTGATGGCCACCGCTTTGGAAAGTCAGAGTGTCCCCAGAGGAGAGTGTTAGAAACCAAGGACGAGAGAAGAGCAGACAGAGCAAGAAAACAAGGGGAAATGTGGGCTCAGTGTGCCTATAGTTCTCGCAGTCTCTCACTGAGAGCAGAACGGGCTGCTTGCCGGCTGCGGGAGGCCTGAGCCCCATTCCACTGCGGACCAAGAGTCTGAAAATTGCCACGAGCCCTAAGATACATCCTCTGCCTTCTTTTGGCCCATGCTCACCTGCACGCATGTGTATGTGCGTGTGTGTATGAGTGTGTGTTTGCGGTGCCTATCTGTCTCTCTCTCTTTTTTTGGGGGGGGGGCAAGAAAATAAGCTCCCTTTCCCTTTCTTTGTTCTCCCACCAAAACCTATTTTCCTTGCTTATTCCTATACTAAAGGGAAGGCTTTTGAGAACTGGGTATGTGCAGAGGGGAGGAAATGCATTTTTACCAGTTTGGCCATTATATAGGACCTAAGAGGCTGGGGTCTGGTTTCTGAGAGCTGGAAGGAACACCAACATCAGATACACATGTAACTCAATTGTGCATTGAGATTCTGATCTATGGACCTTGACAATTCCAATTATTGAATTGGGAGAAAACAGACATGTATTTTCCTGCCCCTCCTGCTCAACTCCATCTCCCCCACCCCCGAAGGGAGTGTTTCTCCTGCTTCCGCTTCTTTCCATTCCCCTTGCTAGCTCCTGCCAGGAGAAGAGGAGCGTCTGATCGGGTCGGTCAGCGTGTTCACTGGACCGGGTTTTGTTAGCGTGCAAATTATTGTGCCTTAAAGCAGTGCACACAAGTCACCTGGGGATCCCGTTAGAATGCAGATTCAGACGCAGGAGGTTTGGGATGGGCGTGAGAGGCTGCATCTCTAACAAGCTACTCGGGGGATGCCCGTGCTGAGAGGACACGCAGGGAAGAATGGTACTTAAAGGCAGGAACCACATGTGGCTTGCCTCTTCCACTTCCTAGAAGGTCAGCTTACTGTCTCCTCACATCGTCAGTCACCTGTGGTCCCTGCATAGGGAGGGCAGGCAGGAGGCAGGCTTTAGCTCTCCAGGACACAGTGGGGTAGGTGAGACTCTCTTTCAGAGCCTTTACATATCGCCCTGCATCCTGGCTGAGCAGGTGGATTCCAAGATTTAGATTTGGGGGAGAGGCAAGGGATAGTGGCGTGGAGAGGTCAAAACCAGGCTTCAGACTGGATCAGTGAGGGTTACCTCGAGCCACTCCTAATAGACACATGAAAAATGCTCCCTATCCCTCGGCATCAGGGAGATACAAATCAAAACCACAGCGAGATACTACCTCACACCGGTTAGAATGGCTAAAATGAACTCAGGCAACGACAGATGCTGGTGAGGATGCAGAGAAAGGGGGACCCTCCTGCACTGTTGGTGGGAATGCAAGCTGGTGCAGCCACTCTGGAAAACAGCATGGAGGTGCCTCAGAAAGTTGAAAATAGAGCTAGCTATCCTATGACCCAACGATTGCACTACTGGGTATTTACCCCAAAGATACAAATGTAGTGATCTGAAGGAACACGTGCACCCCAATGTTTATAGCAGCAATGTCCACAATAGCCAAATTATGGAAAGAGCCTAGATGTACATCCACTGGTAAATGGATAAGGAAGAAGTGGTATAGATGTGCAATGGAATATTACTCAGCCGTCAAAACGAATGAAATCTTGCCATTACAACACCATGGACAGAACTAGAGGGTATTAAGCTAAGCGAAATAAGCCAGTCAGAGAAAGACAAATATATCATTTCACTCGTGAGGAATATAAGAAACAAAACAGATGAACATAGAGGAAGGAAGGATAAATAAAGTAAGGTAAAAACGGAGAGGGAGGCAAACCATTAGAGACTATAGCTAAGAGAACAAAGAAATTGAGGGTCACTGGAGGGGAGGTAGTGGGGGGGGATGGCATAACTTGGTGATGGGCATTAAAGAGGGCACTTGGGATGGGCACTGGGTATTATATTTAAAGTGATGAGTCCTTAAATTCGACCCCTGAAACCAATACTACACTTTAAGTTAACTAACTTGAATTTAAAAAAAAAAAAAAGAAGACTAGAAACCACTCTATGCCAAATATGAAGAAAATTAGATGTTGACGCAACCATTGGAAGGGCTGTAGGAACAAAAGCTAAAGAGGCCACCAGTGGCTGTTTCACTTGCAACATGAGGTGAAAGTTTCCAGAGGAGATGCAGGAGACCTCAAGGCACCTTGACGAAGGCCACAGCAGCCCCCTCAGTCCCTAGGAGCGAAGCCAGTGATGCCAAGAAAAACTCCCCTAAGAGCCGCTTTGAACCTCGTATCTGCCCAGGGTCGGGCTGCCGCTGCCTCCAAAGAACGAAGGCCTCTTTGCCTTTTCCAAATTTCAGATCTCATCCCTGGGCACCCCCTCCTTGCCAGATGTTGGTCCAGAACTGTTCAGTGAAGAGGATTCTAGGAATAGCACTGTTGAGCAGCTGCAGGAAGGAGGTGGTCCTGAGCTGACAGAGGACCACGCACGGGCAGCCTGATGGGTCTGGGCAGCCTCACAGAGCTGAGCTCTCCCCTGAAGGGGACACGGTGCTTCCCACCCCAGCAGCTCTAGCGCTAGTTCTCACGGGCCGCGCTCCCTCCACCTTCGGGCCTGGAATGATGGGATTCGGGCCCCCATCCGGTCCCCAGGGCCTCCCATCCGGTGGAACACTTACAGCAACGATCCTGCAGGTCACAGCAAGCCTGCACCAAGGCCCCGCGTCCCATCCTGCGGAGGCCCTGATGACTGAGGCTGTTTGTCACGAGGTTTGGCTGTGCTGCCTCTGAGACTTCTAGATGACATCTTTACTAGCAGCTATCTGCCCAGGATCCCAGAGAGAATGACAAGGAAGGCAGAGGCAGAGCAGAGAAGGCAGACGTGAATCATTTAACTGTCATGCCTCCTGTAAAGAACGTGCAGCCTGCTGAGCGCCAACTCTAGCTAAATGACTTCTCGTGTCCATATTGTCCCCACTGTCCAGGGGTCACCTTCCGTGGGTCGACATATAACAGAGTAAAGCTTCACATCCCCATGCAGCAATAACAATGGCAAAGCTTAACATAGCTCAAGGGCAAAGACATATACTGGAGAGGAACGTGAAGAATTCTCCTGGCAGCGTCTTTCCAGGGCCTGACGCTAAGCAGGTGACCCTGGTCACCAAGCCACCGTTCGGGAAGACCACGGGGGTGGCAATTGAAAGGCTGCTTTCCTCTCTGGGTCGGCAACCTATTCTGGATATGGGTGTTCAAGGTCTCAAGCCTGTTTCCCAGGATGGTAAGAAGAGTAAGCCGATGCCCCTTTGAAAGCCATCCCAGCGACGGCGGGTTTCACTGCCAGGCAGGCTGCTGTGAGCCTCTTTGAATTACGGAGTGAAGGATATCCCTCTTGCCAGCCCCTGTCCCCTGTAGGCACAGCGGAGAAGTATTACAGGCTGTCCTTACCTTGGGAATTAGCCTGCAAGACCCCAATGCTGTCATCAAACTGCATAGATTTGATGTTGAGTGACGCCAAGATGCATTCCTTGTCCTGCAGCGAAGTATCATCAATATTATTCTGATTGGCTGACAGGATAACGCACATGTCACAGAGGTTGATGTTGACGGCCCTTAAATCAGCCCGACTTAATGGCGTACCCTTTGGCATAGAAGAAGGGGAAAAAAAAAAAAGAAGAAGAAGAAGAAGCCAAAGTGAGTACGAGGGACGAGAGGGAAAGAGGGGAGAAAAAAAAATAAAAACAAATTAAGGATCGAGCCAGAGCTTTGGGAAATTATTTAACAAGTATCTTTTTTATGCCTTGACATTAAGCTGGCCTAACTACGTTCAAGGGAATAGGAGCTGTGTGCTAATCTAAAGGGTAGTCAGTGCTGATGGCGGCATTTCAGGCTTGCTCTCCACACTCCATCAAGCCGTTGCTAACAAACGAGGGAGAGGAATAATGCCAGGGTCCTACATCTTCTTCCTGCCTGGAAATTGTCTTGATTTAGGAAACTGTCCTGTGGCAACCTCTGGCTTTCAGAACCTAACGAGAGGGTGGGTTTCAAATGCCTGTTTATTTAATAGCAGGTCACTTCTGTCTCGGGCAAAACAATGCAGCTCCAACTAGAATTTCCAATGCAGCCAAGGGGAAATAGCCAGTGAGCACGGTGTGATCCGGGTGGGGGTGGGGGTTGCTGGTGGTGCCGCTTATTAACCTGGAGGAGGTGGGAGGGTTGGAAGGAATGTGCATCTTGCAAAGGTGCGGGGAGAGGAGTTAAGCTTCAAGTCAAAAGATTGTATTGCATATTTTCAGCAAGAAAACAAAACAAAACAAAACAAGAGGGGAGCCTAGGTGGCTCAGTCAGTTGAGCATCCCGCTCTTGGTTCCGGCTCAGGTCCTGATCTCCAGGTCGTGAGATTGAGCCCTTGGCTCCGCACTGTACATGGAGCATGTTTAAGATTCTTTCTTCCTTTCCCTCTGCACTCCCTCCTGTTCTCCTTCTCAAAACAAACAAACAAAACCAAAACCAAACCAAAACAAAACAAAAACGAGAAAATTCCCTAATTGACCAACAACATAGGGATGGTTGAATACACCACTGGCCATACAATCAAGGGAAATCTATGCAGTGGGTAAAGAGATCAAAACAGTTCTCCATGTGGCATAGCCTTGGAAGGATCTCTGAAACAGTGGGATAAGAAAGGGGGGGAAAACCCACAAAAAAACAAGTTCTAGATAATTCAGAAAGTATGATTTCATTTATGTAAAAAGAAACCCACAACATAAAAGTATATATTCATGAATATACTTATAAATGCATGTACCTTTCGAGAGAAATTTCAGAAAAAATATACACTAAACTAATAATAGTAATTACCTCTAGGGAGGAGAATAAGATTGGGTTTAAAGGAAAAAGTTTGTTTTTGACTTCACATACTTCTGTCTCATTTGAATATTTTATAACAAGGATGTATTTGTATTTTACCAGTGTAATTAAAAATAAATAAGCCAGTAAACAGATTTTTTTTAATCCCATAACAACAAAAAGCGCTGGGCGGGTGGGGGGGGGTGGGGGCGGTGGGGAAGAGAGCAAGGAGGTAATGACAGAGAGGTAGATAACACAAGCTCAGGATTAGTGGTAGAGGGGAGAGGTGTGACCTCTGCATGCTCTGTGTCCCTAGGAGGGATCATAGCAGAACGGATCAGGCCATCCCATGTCGGGGTTCCCCAGGGCCATAGGACCTCATTCTAGAGTTCACATACTTGGTTTTCCAGCCTGAAACCAGCTTCTGCTTTGCCTACATGGAGCTCTGAGTTGCCTTCAACTCACTGACTATATTGGGTGGTGGGGGTTCTGCCCACCACCAGATATCCCTGGATCCCTTCCTCCCATTCTCCCTCTTCGAGAAGGGGCTGTGAGCTGACGGTATGTGACCACACAGATTGAGACCATCAACCGCCTTTTATGTCTCAGTGAAAGTCATGATTCTGTTCTCAGCCTCCAAAATACTAAGACAAAGTGAGATGATGGAGAAGAGGCATTTAGTGCTATGGGGCTGAGAAGCAGCTAGTTCTGGGCTCTGGAGCAGTATGTTTTGAATGGAGAAGAATCCCTCTTTCCAGGGATCCCTCAGCACAAAAGTGTGACCGACTTCCTGAATCATTTTGCCAGTTCATAAGCCTCAATTGCCTACATCCATATTCTTTTAATTTTCACCTTGTAGGGAATCCAGCAGTAATTGTGATATAATACAATCCCTGCACAGTTGTATACACATGATTTCAAAACTCAAGAAATACAAATGACATACTAGGAACACCAAGTTTCTGTGGGCTGGCTCCAGATGTGGGCCACTGTGTAAACCATGAAATATAGAAGACAGAGATGAAGGCCCATTTTGTACAACGATACTGTGCTTGAGTACACTAAATTTTGGAGGGTTTAAAAAGGACCTGCAAATATGAGAGCTTATTCATACACAGATCTATTGGTGAATGCAAGTATGGAAGGGTACACAGAAGGAAACACACATGTATACACCACACATAAGCATGTGTACACACACACACACACACACACACACACAGACTCACGTAGGCCAGCAAAATAATAAGCTTTTTACAAAATACTTCTAGATGCCAGTCCATGTGTCCCCAAGGGACCACGTGGAAAAGCACATGTAGGAAGACAATCATGAACATACATACTCAAGTCTATGATGACTGAAATTAGAAAGGTATATATCCGTTTACGGTCTTCTATGCATAGGACTATTTGTTTTTCTTCAGGTCAGTATTTTTAACTACCTGTGTTAACTAAATCCGTTTACCCGTTTATCAAATCTAGAAATGTTTAAAAGTTTATGAAAAATATATTGATTAATGATTAGGAAGTAATTAGATGACTCCAAGATCATGTACCCCATGTCCTTACACTAAATTATGGAGTCTCAAAATGTTCCTTTTAGATTTGGGTCCTAGCATTTTTTAAAACCAAGGATATCCCATGCACATAGGCACACACATACATACGAGCCCATCAAAACATTTCTAGGCTTCTAAATGAATGGGAGGCAGGGAGTGGCCAGGAGAAGGGGTTGGCAGCAGGAATAAAGAAAGAATTCTGTTAAATCCACTTGGTTAAAAACAGAAAGTGGTACAACCAAGATTTACAGAAGCATTAATAATGTCACAAATAAGAGGATAGAAGAAGTTCCATAAGTAAATTCTGCTATAAGCATCATAATATCTCAAAGCACTAGGTTTGGGTAGACAAGAGAGAGAGTGTAGAGACACTGATATGGTAATGCCTTCGATACCAGCCTAACTTCATGCTCAATGAGCAGCTGAACTTGGCTGCAAATTCCTTTTAATAAGGTCTCCCAGGGTTTAGCTATTCCTAGACAGAGCAGAGGGGAAGGGCTGAGTCCTCGGGCCCATAACCAGATGAAGAAGCAGACGCATGATCAAAGCTACAACTACCATATCCATTTGGGATTTTCTTTTGTAAAGGAAAAGAAGGAAAAAGCATCACTAATGTGACCTTAGACTTACAGGCAATATGGACACTTTGGGGAAGTTATGAAGCGTCTCCCATTCCCGCTTGAGGTACTCAATGGAGCCCACGAATACGATGTGCTTGAGCTCGTGGTAATGAAAGTTGCTGGCACGGAGTGGCATCACCAGGTTCCGGAGGCCAATCAGGGCTGAGCTGACATCACCAAAGATGCAGACCACGACGTGGCCGCTCAGGACGGTCATGGCGGCTTCGCTTCGAGTCTGCAACACGGAGACATAGAGCAGCATTGGAGAAAAGACCTCATCGGTTGCAATAAGGATTTAAAAAATCACTTTCATCAAGATAAACATTTGCTGAGTGCTTACTATGTGTTCTTTTTAAATTTCATTAATGTGACAGACATGCCATATATTGAGTATGTGTGTATACTTATACTGGTGTAATAAATATATATAAACATATATCCACACATACTATGACCTTCTTTGACCAAAATTTAAGAAAGTTATGCCATAACACATAGGAGTCGGTAGCCTTTCCTGGGGCGGGGTGGATAAAAGGGAATAGTAATATTTATGTTGTTTAGAAAGAGAAGTCTTGGTTTCCATGAAATTATTGATAACATAAGCTGCCTTTTCTGGCTTTCTTGCTGAAATGATGATAAAATGGTAAGATCTATGCTAGTCTCAGCTTGAGAAGTTTGAGTTTTGAGTTCTGGGCTCACCAATGGGATTTCACACTCTATCAGTACATCAGTAGGTAGAACATAATATCCTAAGCCAGGGGCTGGCAAATTATGGCCCACAGGCCAAATCTGGTCTATACCCTGCTATTGTTTGGCCATGGCTGGTAAGGAAAGATTGGTTTTTACATTTTAAAATGGTTGGGAGAAAAAAGATTTTATAATATGTGAAAATTGTATAAAATTCAAATTCCAATAAAGTTTTATTGCAGCACAGCAACACAGCCATTCTTATTCATTAGGTATTGCCTGTGGGTGCTTTTAGGTTACAGCAACACAGCTGATTAGCTGTGACAGAGACCATGTGACCAGCAAGATCTAAATTACTCATTCTATGATCCTCTGCAGAAGGAGTTTGCGACCCCTCTCTACTGCTGGTCTCTGGTTTCCAGGGACATTCCTGGAGAGGCCCACCTGGGTAAGTCATCAGAGGAAGACTCCCAAAGAACCATTAGAAGGATGTAGAGATGCACCAACAAGAGCAATAAGCTCGTGTCTTCCCCCAACCCTAGGCTTGATCTCAAATGAATGAATAAAATCACCCCAGTGAGTGAAGAACCCCAACTTCCCATGCAAATGGTTAGCCACTGCCACACTTTTGCTCACTGTGTTAGCGAAGAGAACAACACAGGAGGCCACTTAGCAGCCTTTCTCCACTCCTCCTTCTGGTCCAGTACCTCCCATTCCTGCCTTTCTTCCTCCTGATTCCACCCACTGCTTGCCTGGATGGCCCCATATGGCTTACGATGCTTTTGGGGAGGCATATTAATGTCCACTGCACATATCAAACTCTGCTGGATTTAATCCCTAGAATTGACCAGTGTATTGATTGTTTAAATGCCAATATTACAATTCACAACAATGTCAGGGTTATTACAGTAACCCCCAAAGACGAGAAGAAGCCAGCTTTCCCTCCCTGATCGTTAGAATAAAGCAGGGGCTGTCACCATTATTGGTTTCCCTCTGCAATAGCACAGGAACACCTAAGACAGGGACTGTGAGATACATCCTAGAAATAGCGACTAAGGAGGACCTACTGGGAGGTCAACACCCCACATCACTGCTTCATGGAGAAGACCTAGAGTTAGTTATCTCGGCTGCTTGGAAGTTGAGTGCCTGGATACTGTTAGCAGAACATCAACCAGCCTGTAACATGCTGTGATGGGGTTACTAATTGCTTTTAATTGGAGTCTAGCTCTCTTCAATGAACCTGAGGAATACAAACTGGGTCCAGAGTGGGGGCTAGAAACCTACAATGCAGGGTGGGGGTAGGGCTCTGTTTAGCAAAGTGGCTGACCACAGGGGCTGAGCTCTGCAGACTGAAACACCAATCCTTGTACGGGCCACAGTAACATCACCGGAAGAATCTTGTCAAGATCCCAGTTCCCCGAGAGTCGGATTCTGCCCGGCTTGAGACCTACCAGAGCAACTACTCAGAGGTGCGTCTGCTGCTTTACATACATCCTTGAAGGCCTCACCCAGACAGGACCTTACTGGTCTTAAACGCTTCAAAACACAATTTGTCTGCATAAGAAGACTTCGCTAGCCACTTAGATACATCCTCGTCCCTCTCCCCTAGATTTGAAAAGCATTTTGTGCCTCTATAACACTTAGCTTTAAATACATTGTTTCATGGTTACATGTTATGTCTTCTAATTAGATGATCCTTTCCTCCTCAAGATGGAGGCCACTTCATGTTTTCTAACCCCCAGAGCTGTTAGTGTCCTGCACCCAGGGTTCCATGCAACCCCGAAGCGTCTTCGCACAGCTGGTTCTTCTGAGTATTCTCATCTCTGCTCCCCTGGGACTTCAGAGAGGGCTTCTTGGACCACACTGTGGTCCTAGCACCTCCTGGGGCCCTTTCTAGCCCATGGCCCTCCTTGATTGTCTTCATAGCCCTGTATCAGTGTCTGAAATGCTTTTCTATATCCCTTCGTTTAGTTGGAGATCTTCTCTTGGCCTCCCCTAGAACATAAGCCCTGTGATAGCAGTCATCATAAGGGGCCTTACCCCTGGCCACAAGAGCAGGGCCTAGCACATAAATGGCCCATTATAAATGTTCCTTTAAATGATGTTATTTTTCAGGGGCGCCTGGGTGGCTCAGTGGGTTAAAGCCTCTGCCTTCGGCTCAGGTCATGATCCCAGGGTCCTGGGATCCCAGGGTCCCCGCATCAGACTCTCTGTTCGGCAAGGAGCCTGCTTCCCCTTCTCTCTCTGCCTGCCTCTTTGCCTACTTGTGATCTCTGTCTGTGAAAGAAATAAATAAAATCTTAAAAAAAAAAAATGATGTTATTTTTCAGAGGACAGAAGTAGTAACTCACTTCCCTAAACTCTTTCATGCCAGAAGGGACTTTGTTTGTATGCCAATCAGCTATACCCGCTTCAGGAGTATGGGCAAGCCATTAAACCCTGGATTCCAGCTATGAGATCCAGCCCTCTACCAGCCACAGATGGGTAACACCAGTCTGAGTTTGGGTCAACAGAGCAGAAGTGCAGCGAACACATCACGATGTAAATGCATGCAGCCCCCTCATGATTAGAACCATTTGCGCTCCTGCTCAATCGGGCAATAGCTGTTTCTTGAGAATTCTGACTTTCTGGGCTTTTGTCTGCAATGTTCACACCTCCAAGACAGCCTCTAACACAACCCTGTATTGGCTCTTAATTGCTTGATTATAATTAAACTGAGAACACACACACACACACTCAGATAAAACACAGGAGAAAATCCAGTGGATTAGAGTACAAAGCCTTTCCGAGGAACTGGAGCAGCCCTTTTCTAAGAAGGGCAGCCGTGATATCAGAAATGATAGGATTTTCCTGGCTGACACAAAGAAGCAGGGCACAGCAATCTGCAATGAGAAGGCATCTGACCTTCCTGATTATTAATCCATTTTTCATGGATTAGGAGGACAATAAACTGTAGGGAACCCGATATGGGCATTAAAACCTAAAGCTGTTAACAGGACAAGTCCAGAGAGTAGAATGGATTATTATCTAGGCTGACGTTCCTAGGAGAGACCAGAAGAAGCCCACTGCTGCTACCAATGTGACCCAACCATGAAACAGGGCTCTGAGCCCCCACATCTGAGGTGGCCCCCGGCTCATCATTGTCATCATCAACAAATACATTTTGTATCATGTGCTAAGAAGGATCCCAAATGTACAAGGCTATTATCTAGAAGAAGACAAGACATTGTTATAAACAAGTAACATTGTTTATTTTACTGGTAGCATTCACAACTCTTCCTGGTATTTAATAATAATAATAATAATAATAATGAGGAGGAGGAGGAGAAGTAGTAACTCTATTGAGTCGCTGCAACCCTAGGAGTTAAGGTCAGTCTCATATCTCATCTTCTTACAGGTAAGAAAACCAAAGTGTAAAGAGGTCAAGGAGAGTCACATCCATAGGAATTAGATACATACTGCCTCCCATGATGCCTTGCACACAGCACAGGACTGCCCCATATTGTAATAAGCCAATAAATATTCAGAGATTAAAAATTCCATCCTTGATACATATTCTGATGAGAGTTCTAGCTGCTTTAATCTGAGTCCCAAATTTTAATGATCAAAAAATAGTTAGGACCAGGGACTATATCTTTGCACCAGCCAGTTAGGGAAACCTCATTCCTAGCGATGGTAGTTTGGGACCGAAGTGGATGGCACAGATTCTGTGGCCCGCCACTCACCAGGATGACTTTCTCTATCTCCTTGGGTGCGCACCAGTGAAACATGCCAGTAGAGTCATACTTCTTCACGTTGGAGTCCATGTTGTCAATCTGATCGTTGCCGGGAATTAACAAGGGGTCATGCCTGGGGAGAAAAAGAGAAGAAAACCTAAGTGGAAAATGTAATAAATTATAAATGGAAAGTGCCCCCTGAGTTACATCTCAGAGGAATTGAAAGATGCACAGGAAGTGGCTGTCACTGAAGGCCATTCTTTTGCTTGCAGAACCCGTTCTTTGAAAGACAACTGCCCCAACCACCGCCACCACCTGGAAAGGCAGGCGACCTTTATCAGCTAGTAATTCTGCCTTTCCCCTCCGGTTCCCATTTCTCTAAAATGGCCTTCACTTCGTTTTGTGGATTTAGACTCTTTTCATGGATACCTCTCCTCCCTCCTCTTCTCATTTTACCAGCTATCCAGTCTCCCCGGTGTTTGCGTGTATGTGCGCGCGCACACACACCCACACACACACTCGCTCACACCAAAGGGTTGTTATTAGCATTGGCAATGAAGAGGAAGGAATAGGAATAGAGCCTCATGCTGACTGACTGGCATGAGGATGGAAAGCCAATTACCTGCTCTTCCTGACTACAACTTCTGACGTGATGCTCTTCGCAGTAAAAGCTTTAACAGGCTGCACTTTAAATATTTTAGCAATTTGCCCAATCAGATTTTGCTCTCCCCGGCTGAAGCCCTTTAAAGATTCAGCAGCATGTCACTTCAGAGCAGATTGACTACCAAATGCCCACATCTGGAATACATGATTTCAATACTAAACAACACCCTCTCTCCTTGCCTTGACAACTGTATTTGCCCTCGCCATCCGATGACGGTCTCCCCTACCCCCACTGTACCTCCCAACCACAGCCATCCTTGGATGAGAGCTCAAGCTCAGACGCATCTTAATAAACTTGCCTTGAATTCACTCTCTTGCCTTGTTTACTGGCGGAAAGGAAAGATGCTGCTACAGAGGCCGCCCCTCCAATGGGCTGGCAGAGCCTCACCGACAACCTTGGGAATTACAATAAAATCAGGCGGGTCTAACAGGCTCACAGCAATAAGAGACATAGTCCTACATCTTGGGCCATATCCATTGTCCAGATTCCATCTCTAGTAGTGATTCCATATCTCAGTTTTGGGGGCAGGTCGTTAAGGTTTCTACAACACCGACCGCATATAATTAGGACAAGTCCCAGGCATACACATACCTACGTGTCCTTACAAGGGAGCTATCTTCTCTAAAGAATATCACCATTTCAAGATAGAAAACATAAATGGGTTCAAATTCCAAAAACTTACTATAATGTGATTTTGCCTTTTAAATCATCTATTTTAAGCATCAGTGGGTGACCATTTAGTTTTTATATTTCTCCCCTTGATGTTTTCTCTGCTACTTCTCATTTAGATGTCCACTACATAGAGAGTGGGATAGGAATCTCTCCTACATGATCCACAGACCTAGAATTAAGCTTTCTAAATATCAGGATATGTATCATGAACACCCTCCCCAATACTCACTCTACCCCCTTAAGATGGGAAAGTTCTCACTGCCTTTATTTACTCCTGAGAATCTCTTTTGGGCGATGCCAAATACCAAATACTATGTGAGGCAATCCTGCAAAGTTGTCTTCAACAAACATGCTAGATTACTATAGGAACTGTCATATCTAATCTTCAAAGGAGAAGAACAAATCCACCTTGGAATAGCATCTCGGTAGCTGAGCTGTTGAGAGGTCTGAAGGTGTTGTAAACCACCAGGCCACCTTTCAAATACCAAACTCGGTCAAAAATGCTAAAATAAAAAGGCAGTTGCTCCTAAGAACTGGTCACAGATCAGGGCAAGAGCAACTTTTGTTATTTTTTTTTTTCACCCTTGAAGAATCTTTAATAGTTTTTATAGATATCCGTCTATGATAGGTAGGTGGACAGAAAGCACCAAAGAGAAGAGATTTCAGAAAATGAAAAGAATGAACCCTTCCCAGCCCTAGGAGAACATATTCTAGTTGCAAGAGGATCTTAATAAACTTTCCTGGAAGAAATAGAGCCAGCTTCAAATTCTCTTAACCAGACCTCCTCTGGTTACAGAGGAAGTATTATCTCAAAACGTCCTGAGAGCTGCCCCTATTGCCTCCAACCCTCATCTTACAAAAGTAAATAAACAACCCTGATGATCAGTTATCCCTCAATGAGAGGGAAAAAGACAGTATTCTAATGTCAAGTCTCACTAACTGGGGTGAGGGTCTGGGAAAAGCATGTTATAATTTCTTTTTCAAAAAAAAAATGTTATTTGTTCTCAAAGTATAGTGGACATACCATGCTATATTAATTTCAGGTGTCATTTGACACTAGGGTTGCAAGCCATGATTGGCACTGGGATATCCAGAAGCATCTGAGAAGTCTCTGTAGTCTGCCATGCTGCTCTCTGTACTCCCTACACACCTCTCACCCTCATCTGGATAATTTAAATGTATTACCCAGGACTGCCCCCAAAGGGTCTAAGCTGAGGACCATTAAAAATCTCCCCAAATAAAAACATCCCCTTTTCTGGCCAGCCATGGCACCTGGACTTTGACCTTTGATTTCTTGAATCATCAAAGCAATGAATAAACATGAATTTTCTATTTTGATCTAGGAATGGAGGCTACCCTGATGATTAAGATGCAGTCCCTAGTCAAAGAGAAGGTCATAATATAGCAAGAGAGAGAAATGTCAATCAATAGTTGTGATACAGTGTAATGAGTGTTATATCATATAAGGTGGCATGAGAATACCAAGAAAACTGTTAATTGCCTGGGATTTGAGTAACATTAAGGAAGGCTGCCCAGAGAAGGGAACATTTTATCTGATCCCTGAAAGGTGAGGAGGAATTGCAGATTTTAGTGTTGATCTACGAGCAGCCATTAGGACCCACTCAGAGACTTGAGGCCCAAATAAGCCCAAGGATGGTCCCCCAAACCATGGCTGGCGGTCCTCAAAGAGAAGATCGAATCCACTGATTGCATATGACTGATTGAAAGCAGGCTAGGAAATGTGTGGAATTTGGATAGAAAAAAATCAAGCTTCCAAACATGAAGAATGTCATAGAAATGGAAGGGGTTTAAAAAAAAAAAAAAAAAAAAAAGACGTGTTTCTCAAGGTACTGGATTTCTCCTCATTTGAGACATTCCAGAAAAGCCGGGATACGGAGATTTCATTATAAATGTTGCGTGAACCTAGAAGAACTTCAAGGTTTAGCACTGCTCTCTCACTGAGAAAGTGGTTGCTAGAAGTGTTCTGGAACTATTGGGCCACCGCTGGGCATCAAAAGGCCAGGGGGCACTAAGTAACTGAAGAAAGGTTGTTGTTGGAGTGAAGATGGGAGATAAGAAGAAATAAAGACTGAAGACTTCAGAGTTCCATGAAGGATCATGGGTGTTCCTCATCCACTGGGTTCTACCATCTAGAAGGAAGCTTGGAACATGATTCAGTCCAACAACACAAGGGTCTGTAACTACTTTGAGCAAGACAGGATGAATTTCCTTACCATGTCTGTTCCTGTAGTTATTTCAAGTGGCTTAAGTTGACTTAAACTGCAGAGATCTCTGACATAGGTGAACACTGAAAAGCCAATTGGCCACAGGAACTTCCAAACTAAGGTTTTTGGAGTTTACATCAATAAAAGAAAGTTTTAGCATTTGCCACTGAGCACAACAGCCAATAGTGCTGAAGTCAGGGGAGGCCCAGGAGAAGAACCAGACAGTTTGTTTTACCTAGAAAGGAAGTCCTCCAGAAATCTCCATGAACAAAGCATCCAAGCAAAATTTATTTACAAAATGATTAAGAGAACCACATTCAAATGTTCTCAGATGATTCCTCAAAGACCACTTAGTTGGAAGTAAGGAGAAATACTAGATATTGTCTTTCTGGTCTTAATTATTTTATGCATTTCCTCAACTCACAAAGTAATCTCAACTCCTCTAAAATGCACTGTAATTGACTCAAGACTCATTTGTCATTTACCATGGAGCCAATGTATATGCATTATTTTAAGGTTACAGAAACTCTGTGAGGTGAGGTCTATCTGCTGCATAGTTGGTCAATGAGCATAATTTTGTCCCCCACAAACTCTGTGTATCAAAGTCTGAACTTTTTTTTTTTTGTGACTGGACGATACAGTCTTCAAAGAGGTAATTAAATTAAAAAGAGGTCATTAAAATGGGCCCAATTCAGTATGGCTGCTGAACTTAGAACAAGAGGAAATTTAGACCCAGACGCGTAGAGACATGTGAAGACACAGGGATAAGACAGCCATCTAGAAGCCAAAGAGAGAGACCTAGAACAGAGCTTTCCTTCACTGACTCAGAAGAAACCAACCCTGCTTGTACCTTGATCTTGGTCTTCCAACATCCTGAACTGTGAGAAAAATCAATTTCTATTGATTAAGATTTCCAGTATATACTACTTTGTTATGGTAGCCACAGGAAATTCATAAACAGTCCACCTTGGAAAATGGGCACAATGTATTAGCTATCGGTCTCTAGAAGTGACCCCAACTGCCCTTATTGCCCTTCAGTTGCATGTTCATTTCAGGGAGAAAAGCATTCTTCCACCAGTTTAGAAATACACAGAATTAGACCAGAAATACACAGTATCTTATTCAAAGAGTTTGGACCAATATCCCTCCCTCCTCAGGCCCACCCCACCCCAACATACATATACAATTATATGTGCTCTGCCCCAGAGGGCACGTCTCTCTAGTATTTAAGTTGCAACAACATTTTTGGATCGGTACCTATGACAACCCAATTCAAAGGAAAGAGGAAGCCTGTTAATTTACTCATTTGAGGGACATCGGGGTGGCTCAGTGGGTTAAAGCCTCTGCCTTCGGCTCAAGTCATGATCCCAGGGTCCTGGGATAGACCCCTGCATCAGGCTCTCTGCTTAGCAGGAAGCCTGCTTCCTCCTCTCTCTCTCTCTCTCTGCCTGCCTCTCTGCCTACTTGTGATCTCTGTCTGTCAAATAAATAAAATCTTTAAAAAATTAAAAAATAAAATAAAAATTTTAATTTACTCATTTGAACCAAGAGTCTTTCTCCAAAGGTGGTAGA